AAGGTCAGTGCAGAAACCAGTGAAATAGCACTTCGTATCCACTAAGAGGATGGTGATAAAAGCTTCGCCTGTTGAAAGTCCTGGGCACTTCTCCAGCACCAAACAGAAACCAGTGTTTAAAAAAAACACCACTGCTACAGTGGTGCATGCCTGTAATTCTGACACACAGGAGGCTGAGGAGGAGGACCACAGTTCAATTCCAGTCTAGACAATTTAGTGAGATCCTGTCTTAAAATAAAAATTTAATAAAACTCAGATGTGGCTCAGTACGAGTGGCCTGGTTTCAACTCTGGGAGTAAACACCACCACTGTTTCCAGAACTTTCTCATCCAAAGCAGAAACCCCATACTCAGCGAGCAACACAATGATTCCCCGACTCCTATTGCCCCAGCTCCTGGTAGAATCTAGTCTATTTTCCTTTTGAATTTGCCTGTTCTGGCTACCTCATAGAAATAGAATCACACAGTATTTGTCCTTTTGTACCTGATGTATTCTATTTAGCATAACTAAGCTTTGGATGCAGAGTGTGATGGCACATGCCTATGATCCCAGCACTGGGGAGGCAGAGGCAGGAGGATCATTGTGAGTTCGAGACCAGCCTGGGCTACAAAGTGAGCTCAAGGCCCGCCTGAACTGCGTAGCAAGACCCTGTCTCAAAAAAGACAAAACAAACAAACAAAAAAGACAACAAAATTTTTTTTTAAAAAAACTATTGTGGTTTTTATTTCTCTTTTTTTCTTTTCCTTTTTTTTTTTTTTTTGAGACAGGGTCTCACTATGTAGTTCAGGCTGGCTTTGAACTCACTGTGTAGCCCAGGGTGGCCTGGAACCCTTCTGCCTCAGTTTCCTGAGTGCTGGGATTATAGGCATGCATCACCATGCCTGGTTCTAATTCTTTTTTTTTTTCCACCCTGGAACCAGGAATTGAACTCAGGCCCTGGCACTTGCCAGGTAAGCGCTTATTCTACTGAGCCATCTCCCCAGCCCCTCTAATTCTTTTTTATATTTCCTGTGGACTAGAATGCAAATATAATAGCAGATTAGCAAAGCAAAACTAGCAATACATACTAATGATAATATATTACTTGGAAGTGGAGTTTTATCTTAAACGTTCAAGGTTATTTGAACAATCAGAAAGCTGTCTACCTCGCTTCCAGAATAAGGACAAGATAGTTTGATTACCAGAAAAGTTGCAGAAAAGGCATTTGGCAAAACTCAGAGCACATTTCTGATACAAATTCTCATCAAACTAGAAATAGAACAGATCTTCTTTATTCTGGTACACAGCAGCTATGAAAAGCCTAGAGTTAGCAGGAATGTAACAGTGAGAGACTGAATGCTTGGGCGGAAGGTGAGGCTGTCTGCTTGAGTCTTGGCTGGCTGGCTGGCTTTTTTCTTTTTTTCCCTTTCTTTCTTCCAACAAGATCTTGCTCCACAGCTCAGGCTGGCCTCGAACTCATGGCAATCCTCCTGCTTCAGCCTCCTGAGTGCTGGTATTACAAGCACATGCTGCCGTGCTTGGCAGAATATCTGTTAATCTAGTATGCACCATGAGTCAGTCCAGCCTGCGCCAGAAAGCACAGGGATTATAGGATTTTAGAGAAATGGAGCACACTGGGCAAGCCAAAAGAGCAAAGTGTTTGTCGGCAAAAGATAGACTATAGAGAGCCCTTCCTGGTCCTTGTCTCCATCTGGGAGGTTTATCTTTGTGACCCCCTGGATAAGTTACTGCAATCCCATCCAGTTAATTCCAGTCTCCCACTTCCAGTGCAACCCACGGCGAGAATAAAGGCACTAGGGCGTACCCGTGGTTTCGGAGAGCCAAGGGGTCCTCAGTCCAGACACGGGGACGGCTATCCAGGACAAAGGCCTCCACCCAAAGCCAGCTGGGTTTTACTCATTCATGAAGAGCGGAGGGGCTTGAGGACAAGTGACTGTGAGACTAGGGGGAGGGAGGCGAGTGCTGTGAGCTGGGCTGGGGGGGGCCTGTAGTCAGTCACCTCTGCAATACGCAGACAGAAGGTGTGCAGAAAGAGTCACTTCTTTCTTTCTTTCTTCTCTTTCTTTCTTTTTGAGACAGGGTCTTGCTACGTAGTTCAGGCTGGCCTTGAGCTCACTGTGTGGCCCAGGCTGGTCTCAAACTCATAATGATCATCCTGCCTCAGCCTTGTGAGTGCTGGGATGACAGGCATACATCACCATGTCTGGCTTATAAAATCAATTTTTTTTTTTTTTTGATGGAACCGGGGATTGAACTCAGGCCCTTGCGCTTGCCAGGGAAGCGCTTATTCCACTGAGCCATCTCCCCAGTCCCCTGAATTTCTTTATATAAAAATAACTAACAGAAAATAAAATTTAAAAGGCAATATAATTCACAATATAAACCAAAAAATGTATAATGCTAACAAATTCAACAAAATATTTTGGGGAGGAGGGTTGAGACAGTGTCTCAGTATGTAGCCCAGGCTGGCTCCAAATTCACAGCGATCACCCTGCCTCAGCTTCCCAAGTGCTGGAATTAGAGGTGTGTGTGTGCCACCACACCCGATTTAACAGGATTTTTATGAGACTTGTAAAACTAATTGGGACTACTATGAACAAATTAATGATCTAACTAGTTTTTCTTTATTGTTAGATTGGAAAGCTTACAGCCATCCTCCTGCCTCAGCCTCCTGAGTGCTGGGATTACATGTGTGCGCCATCACCCACTGGCATATATCTGTACTTAAAAGGACTTTTTTTTTTTTTTAAGGGACTTTTAATGGTATACTGGGACACAGGAAGAAACGGAGTTAAGAAGTGACAGGAGGGGGTAGGCCACTTAGCATAGTCTTGCATAGTCTTGTGGGCAGCCTGTGAGGTGGGAAGTGAATGTTCTAGCACAGGCTCACCCCTCACCAGCTGTGCAGCGGTCATTAAAGAAACAACGGCAAAATAACCAGGATGTAGCAGTGGGGCTCACTGCGTTGCATACCAGGGATCTGTGTGCCCGCCTGTGTGTTCATCAGATTTCTGTAAGGAAGTGTTTAAATTTTTTTTTTTTTCAGTGCTGAGGTCCAGCCCCATTCTCACACATGTCAGACATGGGCCTTACCCCTGAACTGAAGCCCAGCTGGAAAGAAATTTTTAAAAATCCAAAGAGAACAGAAACAGGTTATTTTCTCTCACAATGGCCTCTGGGACACTGAACCACAAGATGATGTGAGGGTTCACGTACAGGACGAGCTCACTGAAGACTCCTTCCTCCAGAAGCCCCAGATTTCCAGATCGGTCAGGACTCTGGGTCTCTCCCACCTCCAATCTAGATCACTCTGGATGGAAATGGCTCTCCCACCAGACTGTCAGGCCCAGAAATATAGGATCCAGCTTGGGAGATCACCACAATGTTCCCAGAACCACCACTCATCCGGGTGAAGATGATGAACTGAGATGAATGGGTGAACGGAATGGATTGGTAGGTGGGTAAGATCAATGGCTGGGTGAATGGGTAGATGGATGGATGGGCAGGCCGATGGATAAATAAATGGATGGATGGATGGATGGATGGATGGACGGACGGACGGATGGATGGATGGATGGATGGATGGATGGATGGATGGGTAAGTGGGTAGAATGGATGGATGGATTAGAGGATGGATGGATAGAATTGGTGGATAAATAGATGAGTGGATAGATGAGCGAACAGGTGGATAAATAATAAAATGAATGGCTACCCGAGTGGGTAGATAGAATGGATTTAAAGAATAGAAGGAATGGGGGCCCAGAGGGTACTTAAGTGTTGGAAGGACCCATAGTAGGGTGGAGTCTCAGAGGGGAAAATGGGAACATAGGACATGGGGGGGTCCCCAGGAAAGGGACAAGGACCCAAGAAGGGAGGGGGGACTGGGGAGGGCCTTAGGGGGTGGCCTGGAGCCAAGTGAGGAGGTGGGGGACAGCAAGGCATCTAGGTTCACAGATGCGGGCAGGAGCTACAGAAGGCCCAGCTGCAGACCCCTGGTGGTCCCTGAACTCGCTGCGGCTCACAGTGAAGGCACGGACCCTGCTGGGCACATGGCACACGCTGTTCACCTTGGGAGATGACTTGCATGTGTCCACGGCCATCGAAAGCCCTGGAAACCCAGAGGTGTCTAGCTCCTCACTCAGTCTGAGGATCGGACTGGGAGGCCCCACACTGCTTTTCTCCAGAATTTTCTTTAAGGTGCTGGCTGAAATTTCACCCCAAACCCCATTCTCCCCACCCCTACTACTGGTACTGGGGACTGAACCCAGGACTTTCTACTAAGCTACATCTCCAGCCCTCTTTTCTATTTTTTATTTGAGACAGGGTCACATGAAGTCAGTAAACTTCCCAGGCTGGCCTCCAACTTGGAAACTTCCTGCCTCAACCTCCTGAGTCCTGCAGCACGGATATGCTCCACTGTGTTGGTGTCGCTGCCTTTCTGTTGCCAAACGGTGTCTGCCATGTGCGAGTACCCTGCAGTACTTGTCCCCATACCCCTCGGTGGGCCTTGCCATTGTTTCCACTTCAAGCCCAGTGGACAGTGGTGGAGGGTCGGAGTCCATGCGATGGTTGGATGGAGGCTTGAACCCCAGCCTCAGGCCCTGACATAGTTCCCACAGGTGCCCACCTTCTGGGCCATAAGTGTCTCTTTCCCAGGTGGGGGACAATGACACAAGATGTGTGGCATTTGGGACACTCAGCCACCACCTTTCCCAGAATAGGTGCCTTGTAAAACCATCCCAGAGCAGAAAAGGGCAGAGTCAGGATTTGAATCCACATTTGAGTCTAAACTTCTAACTGTGAATAACTTTTCTGCTGGTTTCCATGGCAAAAACCTGGGGCAAAAACCCCACACCCATGACCTCACCAAGAAGCCCCATCACAGGTAAGGGGAGCTGCCACACTGGCCCCGGAAGCAAGCTAGAAAACACTCGTAACAGCCCCTCAAATGGAATCAACCTAAATGTCTATCAGTCGACACACAGATGAATAAAACAGGGTACATCCATACCACGGAATATTACTCAGCAATAAAAACTAAGCACTTCTGCTCGAAGCTTCAGACTTCACGGCCAAAGCCAGAAACAAAACAACACACACCAGATGATCCGTTTACACGAACGGCTCACAATAGGCAAGTGTCCACTGGAGGCAAAAGGTAGCGGTGGCTGCCAGAGCCTGGGGGTGGCGGGTAGGCTGGAGGAGCAGGGGGCGCTGGCTACGTGGCGGGGCTTATTTTTAGGTAGTGAAAACGTCCTCAGATTGGTACGAGTGATGGCTGGACAACTGTGAGACTGAAAGACGTCTGCTGGGCGTGGTGACACATGCCTGTAATCTCAGCACTTGGGAGGCTGAGGCAGTAGGACCGCTGTGAGTTCAAGGCCAGCCTGGGCTGCAGTAAGGCCCTGTCTCAAAAAACTAAAAACAAAAAAGAGTTGAAGACACGTCTCTGTCGGTGGAGCACCCTTGGGGTTTCATCTCCAATAAAACATAGAGAAAAGTAAGAATTTTTAAAAAGAGGCCTGGGGATGTAGCTTAGTGACACAGGGCTGGCCTATTTAATAAGAAGGGCTGTTGAATGGTCACTTTATCTATTTATATTCTTTTTTTTTTCAGACAGGTCTTGCTGTGTAGCGCAGGCTGGCCTTAGACTCATGATACAGCCCAGGCTGGCCTCGCGTAGTCACAGAGGTCTCCTGCCTCAGCCTCCGGAGTGCTGAGATTAATAAACTGGCACCAGCAAGCCTGGCTTGAATGACACACTCGAAGTGAACAGGTTCTCTGCTATGGAAATTATAGTTTGATAAAGCTGATTTTGAATAAGGGGTCACAGTTTGAAAAGAGCCCATCAGATTACACCTGTCATTATGCAAGTCGCTGGGAATCCTTATTCCCCACTCCTCTGCTATTCTGCACATCAAAGACATAGGAAGTGTCCCTTTAGGGGGTAAAGGACAAAGGCCAGAAAGGGAAGGAATGGCAGCCCAGAGAGGGCCAACTTCCTGCCCAGGGCCACACAGCACAGCCCCGAGGCTGAGCACGTGGGTGGATGCGTGCTTGAGGTTTCGGCCACAGCCCCAGTGCTGACCCCTGGCTGCCTCCTCTTTCTGACTTCTCAGGGAGAAGAATAAAACACAACACAGGCCAGGAAGCATCCATCATGTGCTGTCCAGTGGAGGCCGGAGGGGCAGGGGTCAGCAGGGAGGTGACCTCCAGGTCTCCATGGGGACCAGGATCCGGAGAGGCTGGGGGTGAGAGGCTGGAAATTTTCCCACCCTGAGATTTTCCTGTGTCAACCCAGGAGGGCGCCCTGGATGCCGCCAGCCCTACCCCCAACCTCCTTCCTCTCTCTGGACTCGGCTTCCCGCTGAGGATGGATGGGGAGGCCAAGCCAAGTGGAGCCCCCAGGCCCAGGGAAGAAGGACAGAGTGACAGTCCCTGGCTCAGAGTGGCCAAGGCCCTGCCTCAGAGCCACACAGCCCCAGAGACCTAGTGTGAAGGGGCTGTTGGGAGCTGTCCTCTGCCCTGGGCAGCCAGCTCTGGGCCCAGCCTGGCCTTGGGCGGTGAGGAGCACTTGGCCTGGGGCCCTGTCCCCGTCCTTCCTCCCCTACATGTGGGACTCAGCCCTTCCTAGTGTTAAATAGAGACCTCTTTATTCTAAGTATCGAACATTCCTTAATACGTTGGATCAGGGCCAGACCTTGAGATGGCGGGGTGGGAGGGATGTTTCTGTTGAGCTTCCAGAATACTGCACCACCGCCGCTGCCTCCGCCACCGCCACCCTGGGCCATGGAGAGGGAGGAGCCAGGAGTGGCTCTGCGGCCTTGGGAACCTCCGCTCCTGCTGGCTTTTGTGTCCTGCAGGGGAGTCTGGGGATGGGCAAAGTGACCCCTAAGGATCCTGCCCTGCAAAGCTCTGTGTCCTAGGCACAGAGCCACAGGGCAGGTGGGGGGTTTCAGCAGCAAGTTGGGGACACTGAGGCACAGAGCTGGGAGACCCTCAGCGCTGGGCCCGGGGCCTCTGTGGCAATGGGGGCCTAGGCCGTAGGGGCAGACAGGCCCAATTGGGCCTGGCCAGCCGGGACAGGGGCAGGCGGCCCAGCACGAGTGGGAGGCCGAGGCAGAAGGATGGGCGAGGCACTGGGATGTCAGAGAAGAAAGCACGGTCCCGAGGGGGCGGCAGCGCTCCACCCTCAGACAGCTCCAGGTCCCGGGCCACGGCCAGGATCTCCTGCCGGGCAGCTGTGCTGTGCAGGCCACGGACGTCCAGCAGGGCTGCCACATGCTTCCGCCTGGGGACAGAGGATCTGACAGGTGAATGGTGTTCTTGGACCTGTCCACCCCACCTGAACCAGCACCCCAGGAGCCCCTTTGTCCCACTTCCCACAGGGTCACTTCCCTGTCCTTGTCCCAGAGCCACCTAGCCTTTCTACATCCTCCCCTTGCAATCAACTTTAGAGCCTCCACCTCATCACCCAGTGCTGGATCCTTTTCACCCCAAGTCTCAGCCCATGATTAAATTAACTGTCAATCTTCACCCCCTATTGAGTTCAACCCTTCCTAAATTTCCATCCGGGGACCAGCACCCCTACGGCACGCTACAGCAAAGCCTCAACTTTCCTTCACCTTTTCTCAAATGGCCTATGGTCGTGGCTCAGGCAGAACCTCAACCAGCAGGAGTGCTGGGACCCTTTGGGACACAACGGCTCCAAGATCTGTGCCTTCCAAGGACACGACCCTATCCCCTGGAGTCAAGACCTTTAACCTCCACCAAAGCCTAGACCTGCTCACGCCTCCCCTCCATCTTGGGGTTTGTTTGCTCCCCTCCCCCCCCAGGTCTGGCTGCTGTCACCACTGCCACCATCGGGCACTCAGAGGGCAATGTAGAATAGCAGTCCAGTGTACTGTACTGGTTTTCCAGCCAGCCAGCTGCCTGGGTTCAAATCTCAGCACTGATACTTGCCAACTGATAGGTGCATGGTGTAGCAAGTTATTTGCAAATAGTCTCTAAAGCAGCTTCTGTCCTATGTCTTGGAGGGGAAGCTTTTTGAGAGCTGGTATGGGGATGCACACCCATAAGCCCAGCATTTTCAGAGGCTGAGGCAAGGAGGATCCAAAGTTCAAACCCAGCCTCGACAACTTAGTGAGACCCTGTCCCAAAGTTTTTAAAAAATAGAGCTGGAGATGTAGCTCAGTGTGAAGGCTCTGAGGTCAGTCCCCAGTACCTGAGGGAGGGGGTTTATTTAGGACGAAGGACTCAGCAGAGCAGTGAGCAGGAGGGTGAATCCCCCAAGAATCCCATGAAGACACCCTATTATCTCCATGGTAGATGAGGAAACTGAGGCACAGAGAATGCACACAGAAAGGAAGCGGCCCGTAAGGATCTGGATGGTGCCCACGGCTGCCCCAGTGCGTGTGTACCCCTGCCTGGAGCGTCCCTGCATCCCCCAGGCTCCCCACTGGGCCAGTCTTTCCTGCCCGGCAGCCCATGCCCCCCTGCCCTGGGTTTCCTGTGACTGCCTGTTTGTTTGTGAGCCCTGGTGGCGGTGGCGGCAGTGGTGGCGGTGGCGGCAACAGGAGAAGGAGGGAAATCGTATTAATAATGCCCTGGTTCCAGCAGGAAACGGCCGTCAGACACGCTCACCGCCTCCAGCCCTCGCCCAAGAGGCAGGAAACGGGACGGGACAGAGGCCAGGGCTGTGGAGACCTGGCCCACTGGCAGGCAGTAGGCGGCAGCCAGCTCTCACCTGATGTCGGGGTAGTCGCGCACCAGCACGGCCACCTCCACCTGGATGCTAGGCGTGTCCTCCAGCTGCAGCACCTCCGCCAGGTGTGGCACCACGGCATCCAGCCACGAGGCCTGGGACTCCTGCGGGAGAGAGGGTTCAGGGCTGACTCTGGGCCGTGCCCTTCCCAAATACCCCTCCGCAAGAGGCAGCCTCTGCCCTTCTAGCTCCTCCTGGTCTGTTTTCCTCATCTATATCGAGGGTCAGCTGGGCATGTACAGTAAGCCTAGCACTCTGGAAGGCTGAGGCAGGAGAAGTCCAAGTTCTAGCCCAGCCTGGGCAGTTTAGTGATTTAGCAACACCTTGCTTAGCTTGATAATAATAAAAGGACTGAGAATACAGCTGAGTGTGAAGACCCTGGATCCAATCCCTAATTAAAAAAAAAAAAAAAAAAAAAAAAAAAAAACCTTTATGTTAAATGAGAGAAGCTGGTCACAAAAAACAAGGAAAATCTATAA